TTATGCTGAATTGCAGGCAGCCGGTGCGTTCTACTCTCTTTGGCTTCAATGCTAGTTGCGTTTTTTGAAATGTATTGGATTGAATGTGTAAAATGTTGAGAAACTCATTTAGCTACTGAGTTTTTATTTTCTAATCCAAATGAGGCCAATTTCACAGTACTCTGATTTCAGAGGAATACATGCTTACGCGGTTTGACGGGAAATTGGTTAATGGCTTCATATCATCCTTTGACCTCGTTAGACAATGTCACAGTCTGCTCTACTTTAGGTCTTTTTTTTGTTTTCAAACTATTCATGTAGAATTTTTTAAAATAAATTATAGTCTTGAACCATATACTGAAAGTTGTTGACATGAAAAAAGGAGTATAAAGCGTATAACTGGTCACTTGTATTTGTGTTCTAGCCAAATTGAATTTGTTATAGATTAATCAATTCACAATTGCTATCGTAACCAAGATTGTGGCACCATAAACGAGGGTTGCTCGATTCACCATCTCTTTATTTGATCGATCTGCTTTATGTACGCACAGAACTCAATAATTTTTTGTAATTTTTTGCGATGGCGCTGTCATCCATTCGGTGCCTGTTGGCAAAAGTGCGCGCAAGCTAGCAGAGTTTGGTTTTTACGAATGTGTCGGCTTCCCTGAGGTAAATATCATTGTAATTTATGCAGTCAAGAATGCATTTGCTACTGTTCGACTCTGAATAGTTGACTCGAATGCGGTGTTGTATTGTTTATGTTCCTTTATCTACAGAATCCCACGGTTCTCCCAATCTGGCATTGTGGTTTCGATGATCTGAATCCTTGCGAGCCACCTTATGCGCGCAATTCACTCAATCGTCTGTTTGGTCCACCTCGTTGTGTAACAGTGAGTGTTGGTACGCCATTCAAAGTGGGTGGTATTCTCCGAAGAACCAACGACACCGGAGGTGCACTTTATTCTCGCCTTACGACTGTGGTGCAGAAGGCGCTCTATCGTCTGAAGGCAGTGGCCGAGGCTGAACACGCCAAACACATCCTACCTAACACATTTAGACGCAAAATCTGGACACGTCCTAACCACTTCTGAAGAGTGAGTGGCCTCACATACCCTTATCACCCGTAGCGTTTTCGCTTTTTGCGAACCGTTTTTTACCGCAAGTGAAGCGATCTCGGTCAATGGCATGAGATTGCCGGCTTTCGGATCGAAATTTTCAGATGTTCTAGCGTCGAGGTACAACCTGTATCTACGACTTTTCAAACTACTTAGCTTTTATGGACATCTATCAGCAAATCGCATAATAGGCCGACAATTATGACGATTTTTGAAGGATCAGTACTGGCCAGCTTGTGCTCATTAACTACACACATTTGTTAGACTTTATTGCTTAGAAAACAGGAATAGTCAAGGTTAACATTAAATTACTAGAGAAAGGGAAACATTATCAAAGGATTGAAGGTTTCATGAGTGGTCATAGTTACAACCAACAGAGGTATATGTGAGGGAACTGGATGCGCCCTTGCCCTCCTGTTCAACGCGTTTGAGGTTCAGTGAGGTTTCAGCTGCGAGTGCAGCCCGCGACGGACCACTGCGAGTGCGAGAAGAGGACATGCCGTGCAGCAGTACGTCCATTTTGCTGGCCCGACCGTTCGACACGGCCAGGCACTCGGCCACTAGGTCGTCGGTGATGCGAGGAGACACAACCGAGTCACCTCGGTAATCCGGGTGACGCTGAATAAGGTAACGAAGCCATCTGGCCGTTGTGGGCAACTCACCTAAACAATGAGATATGAAAACAAGTGACAGAACTACAGTCCAGCTTAAAGTGGTAAATAATAAGCTTTTGAAGCAATACCAGGCTCTAGTAAACAAACTAGCACCAATTTATTGACATGAATCAAATCGCATGTAGAGAATGATGGAGGCGAAAATTTTGAATTAGTGAACACACGTGGCACGTGATCTGAACCGTCACAGCATCAACTGGATACCATGCCTAACAAGCGAAAGTCATTTCAACAGCAGAGCACATCAGAGACAGTCCAAATTATTCAAAACGCACTGCGCGATCTTAACTCCCATTGCCCAAACTAAAAAAGGCAGCAAGGTTGAGCTGGCTTGGACAGGAATTAAATGGCCATTAACTCAAACAGCATACAACAATGGCTTTACGGAGGTTGTATCGCTCGACTGTTAAATTGTAGCCCAAAGCGAGAACTAAATTGTTACTCAGTCATCGAAAATACACTGAATATGGCATCTTAGTATTCGGAAAAATTGGCATATCCATGACTGTACAAGCGAAGACATCTACCAGCAAGGTGAGAAAAGACTAAGATGTGTGAGGAATAGCAGACAAGTCAAGCGCGAAGATCGTGAGTTATCTTCAAGGGTCAGGAATGCCGCTGAATGAAAGACTGAATTAAATCGAAAGTATTACAGGTGCCTTCACGTGTATTATAACCGATACAGACAAAGTTAACGACACTGGACAATACAACACTTGAAACTTTAATATCACCCAGCCGCAGTCTTATGTATGGCTGAAGCGAAGTGCATTTCAATGTCAATGCCGCTCACAATATGCAATCAGTTACAGGGAGCAGATGGCGTGCTTATAATGACATTTAAAAAGACTGGCATCATGTCCATTCATTTCAAACAAGCGTTGTTTAATCGCAAGTGACACGCTGCATTACATCAAAAGTTAGCAATCTTGTCTTGTGTTAATCCACTGGCATCCATCAACTCAAGACCACCCTTGGTTTATATAAATGTTGACATTCTGACAAGTCACTCGTCCTTTGCTTGAGATGATTAAAGCTGTCTACATGA